TGGCTTTGGGAACAGACTAGAAGCAACTGCTTTCATTGATTCAGGCACAGGCTCCTTTACTACTGATGGCCTATTCAATACAATGGAGATATTTTCCTCTGAAAAACTCAGACTATCAGTTGATATCTCTGCTTTAAATGTTTCAGATTTATTTTTTTTTCTCCTGCCTTATGAGCTTAGAGCCCTCTGAATAATTCCATTGATTTTGGTATGGAAATTGTGTTTTCTTTTGGAGACCAGGTGTGAATGCTGGCTTCTTACAGCCCTGGCTTCAGTGTCAAAAGGCAGGATAGCAGTTTGCCAGTAGTCCCTAAGCTCTACAGAGAGGAATAATGTGAATCAGTCGGAAAAAAGTGTAGGACACGCAACAAAGCCAGAGATGGTGCTAACTCAGGAGGTTGCATTGAAGAATCTTCTGGAAGATGTTTAATTGATTAGGTTTTGTTACATTACTGAAGAGCAAAGTCTGAATGCAGTCAAGTAATGAATGGCATATTGATAAGAAACTCAGAGTGGTATTGTTTTTCATGGGTTTCCCTGACGGTTTCTATGGGGACAAAGACGCATTTCCCGTCCGAGTGCTGCTGCTGCCCTCTGATTGCACTTCTGTGGTTTCATTCACCAGTAATGGGAAAGCATTCATAGGCAGAATAGCTTCCCCTTTTTAAATAGCCATGATTCAGGGTTGTATTTTTTTTTTAATGCATTAGACTAATGCAGTGTTTTATCAATGATCTGATAGATGCATAATGCTCTTTTTCCAAGTGCTTATTCAGGGTCTGCATTAAAACTTGAAATTATGTACTATAATTACGTAAGCCTTGACAGAAGTCTTTGTTGCCCTACAGTGTGTGTACAAAGTGATTCTCATCCGGCTGTAGCAGTAGCTTACATTTGAACTTTAGGGATTAATTTTGTTGCAACTGTTTGTCGGACTCAAATGCTGGTGCTTTTGGAAAACCTTTTTTCTTCTAGGGGTCATTCAGTTGACTAATATGAGTTAATTATTTACAGAATTAGGGTTTTTTAGAGAAGTGACTTTAAAAAAGAATTATTTTTGTTTGTCCTTTTTCTGTGCTGTGATGGGAGGCACTTCAAAGGTGATTGTGATTTCACATCTTCATGTTTGGTTTTGTCTGTCCCTTGCCTAGCAAATGTCAAATTTAGCATTGTCTGGTTAATCTACAATTGGATGCACTCTGCACCCTTTGCTGTGGAGGTTCTTATTCTCAGAATCTACTTGCAGTTTTCAGGGTCTGTTTGTTGTTGTTGGCTTTTATTCTTTTCCCTGGGTATTTGATTTCATTGCTTCCTCTGAGAGAGAGCATGTGGGGGAGAGAGAGATTGCATCTCATTCAGTATGTCTCTACATTTCTGTGTATTTAGACTTCAGGATCTCCTCTTTCCCATTCCCCTCCACACTCCCCCTGCTCCCCCTCTACTCTTAAAAAAAAAAAAAAGCTCTCTGGCTTGTAGAAAACAGCTCTTTTAGGTAATACTTGAAGTGTGGAGGAAGGGAAGGCCAGCCAGAGCTGGAAGCTGTTTCTCACAGAGATAGGTGCTGCACAGTGGGAAATAGCAGCTCCTGAGCCAGGCTGCTCCTTTTTGATTGCCTGAAAAAATGTGAAATGAGTGTTAAGAGGGTGGTGAGCCTTGCCATTTACACCTGCACGATGCCCAGTTGTAGGATGCCCAGTTGTAGTACCGTACAGAGTGTTCCTCATACGAGGGTGGAGTGGGTGAAGTTGTCTGTCGCTGGTGAAAAGGGGGAAAATGGGCTGGAGTTGCAGTGCTGGCTGGTGGTGAGGAGTGCTGGCAGAGATGAGCCACGGCCCTTGTCAGAACCATCTCAGGAGTGCTTTCTGTTACCAGCTGTGCCAAGCCGGCGAGCCTCGGTGCCGGCCGGCACTTCCCGTACTCCTGTGCTCTCCTTGCTGTAAGGACGGCAAACCTAATGCAAAGACACTGGACCTTACAAATGAAACTGTGGATACCCGAGTTGCTTCTGGGTGTAACTGGGAAGGGAGAAAGTCACACTGACGCCATGCACCTGGCATTATGTGCTCAGGAGATGCAGGCCCTGCAGTTTGTGAGGGAGATGCATGCTCAGTGCCGGACTTGCGCTGGTTGCAGAGGAGCCATTTCACCACTTTCACCTTACGCACAAGGGTGTTTCTGGGTGAGGGTTTGGGGTCTGAGGATAAGGAGTGAAGGTTTTGTTTTTGTTTAATTTGAGACCTTTTGTTTCCTCAAAGCCTGTCAGCTTGGCAGGATGAAAAACCTGGTTTGAGTATTTTCTTCATTTGGCCACAGCTTACTGAGGAGCAGGCAGATAAGGGCCAGCTGTTGTGCCATTTGCTTGCTTAAACAAAACCTGCTGTAGCATGCGTGGAGGCTGCAGCACCTTGCAAGGAAAGCAAGATGAGGCTATGGCTTTTGTGTGCTGCTTCTTTTTTATTATCAAGAAATTATTTCTCCTCTCTGAGAAAATATGGATTTTTTGACACACCTTACAATCTGCTCTCTGTGGTTCTGTACCATGTCCATTGTAAAAAATGAGAGATTAGGGAATTCCAATAATTTTATGTAATATAAAAGCTTCTCATTGAACTGTTTTTCTAAATTCTTTGGCAACTCCCAGAAATGTAAAACAGGATAGGAAAGTAAACAGCATTTCCCTGCGCTGTTGACATGGGGATGGCAGAGGAGCAAGTGTGTGTGGGGGTGAACTCCCTCTTGGAAGTTGTTTATAAATAGCATGCTCTGCCCTGCTCCCTGTGTGTGTTCTGCTTCTGTTAGTTAGCAGAAGTGAGTTGATGCTTTCCTGTCTGGCAGTTCAGTGACTTAATGCATGTTTGAGTAGCTGGCCTCACTGTTTTATTGCTACACATGCTTTTCTATGGAAAAACTGAGGTGGGCAATGCAAGTGGAACCACAGCTCATGTCCCTCTCTTCCCTTTCATTTCCTCCTCTCTGTTCTCTGCCCTCCTTGGCATGTTTTTTAACTTTGGGCGTTTCTCCTTGCTGCTCTCCCTATGCTGTGCAGGTGCAGGAACATGTCGAAGCTGAGCATCCTGAAAGGACTATTCTCTAGTCAGTCTCCTGTTGTGGACCCTCTGAGCTCTGTACAGAGGGAAATTGCTGTGGTCTTGGTAATTGTAGTTAAGATTCTCCTTGCAACCAGCTTCCTGTGTGAGGCATTGTTTGAGTGCTAATGAGGGGATTGTCCACGGCCAGAAGTGCTGTTAGACTGGCAGTAGGTAATTAATGAGGAAGCAGGTGTGTTGAGCAAAGCCCATCAGCATTGGACTGGAGGAGCAAACACTGGCCTATTTAAGGAGGGAAGGAGCTACCCTGACACACTGTGCTTGGGAGCCAGGTATTCTGAATTTTGTATTAATGACTCCTCATTTGGGGCATGTTGCCAGAGGGGCTTTCACCTCTGCTAGTAAACGTCTCTAGCTGTTGAAAAGGTCCGAGTGTCATTATGAGAGTTTATGGCACAGTTGCCTCTGGAGTACTCCATGAAGTAAAATGCTTTACTGTTGGTTCAAAGAAGATAGGGCTGAGCTGCCCTGGAACCAAATCTAAGGCAAAGCTGGCCGAGATGTCTTTTGGAGCTCAAGTCTAAGCAATCTTGTCTTCAGTGAACATTTAAGAAACAGGGCTCTCCTTGTTTGTTTTAGTGCCAGTTAAATGATGTGCTTTAGTCAAGAGACACGAGTTGTGCTTTCTGGAATGAAGTTCAGTCCTTGCCTGTGAATGTCTGTGGTATGGAAACATGGCCATGACACAGGGCTAAGGCTGATTGTAACAGACCAGTGGGGTTGAGGGATGAGGACAGTAATACCCAAAGTTGAGTTGCAATTCCAAGTTATTGAAAAGAAAGCCTGCACTGCTGTTAGGTCACTGCCATCCAGAGGCACTGGACAAGCCCTGTTGCGTTGTAGTGATTCTGTTCTCAAAACCATCCACTGCTGGCAAGTAGTCTAAAGGGTAATTGGTAATCCTTTGGATGCCTCCAATGGGGACAGATTTTTAAGTATAGATGGAGACCCCAGCAGTGAGAATTGAAAGGAAAGAAAGGTTATGTTCATCTAGTGCTATGACAAGCAGCTCTGCATCACTTTTTCTGCTGCTGTGAGATATCCATAAGGGAAGAAAATTGTCTTGCAGAGATAATTACTGCAGCACAATGACAAGTTTGAAGTGCTTTGCAGGCAGCAGTTTGAAGTCTAGATAAGGCATGCCTGTCATCTCCTTGCAAGTCCTCTGCTAGCTTCTCTGTTCATTCCAACATGAGGAGCTCTTCTGATTTGGCTGGATAGATAAGGTTGCTGTTAGTCTTGGCAGCGTTCAGCTCACCTGATCTCCCTTTGCCCAGAGGTCTCTTTGGGGAGAACTGTAATCTGTTAAAATTGCTCTTCCTTAATGCTGAGATAAAGAAAAATGTTGATTGGTTAGAGGTATCATTTAGGGTCAGAGTGACCATTTTATTCCTGTTGAACCTTGTGGAATTACAGGTGCAAGGAGCAGCTTGCCAGCATGAAGGTATCAAAATAATTCTGTGTAGTTAGGGCTGGTTTTGTATTTGGGCATGACTCCTGCATGGGTGCATTAGAGTGCAGCCAACACAAAAGAAGTCTTAAGGTTTCTATCTCCTTTTGGAAATCACATCTATTTAAAATTAACTAAAGGCATGAATACGGCAGTTCCTTTCATCTTCTTAAGACGTTGTTAATGAGTTTACTGGACATAAATGTATTTGTACCTGTATGTGTGGCAATATTACCTGTATGTCTCTAATATCTTTAACCAGTATGGAAGAGATGGTATCAATTATTTGTAACAACTGCTGTGAGTGGGATTTTAAACTGATTCACTTCTGTGGTTGTTGAATTCTATAGAGTATGACTATTGTAACCATGTAATTGCAACAGCCAGGAATTTGTGTTTGGTGTTTGCTTACCTTGATGGTTTGGTTTTCTTTTTGCCCACAGGACTAGAGTGAAATTGGAAAGCCTAGAAGATGCTTATATTTTAAGAGGAAATGATGACTCTCTTTCTGATAAGCATGGATGCCCAGCCTATGTGAGTCCAGAGATCTTGAACACAAATGGCAGCTACTCTGGCAAAGCAGCGGACGTATGGAGTCTAGGTGTCATGCTTTATACCATGCTAGTTGGACGCTATCCTTTCCATGACATTGAGCCTAGTTCCCTCTTCAGCAAGATCCGTCGTGGGCAGTTTAACATTCCAGAAACTCTATCCCCCAAGGCAAAATGCCTCATACGTAGCATACTGCGTCGGGAGCCATCAGAAAGGCTGACTTCACAGGAAATTCTGGACCATCCATGGTTTTCTACAGATTTTAATGTATCAAATTCAGGATATGGTGCTAAGGAAGTATCAGATCAACTGGTGCCTGATGTCAACATGGAAGAAGACTTGGACCCATTCTTTAACTGAGCACAAAGACTGGTGTTCAGAAGGTACACAACCTGGAGATGGACACATGAAGGAGCCCTTCCTGACCGCGTTAAATCACATCCTGCATCAGCCTAGCTTGGTAGCAAAAGACACTCAGAGGTCCTTGGGTTGAGAAGGAACCTCCACAAGGAGCTAATATAACAAATGTAGCATGGGGACAGATTGGGGGGGCGGGGGGAGCTTGCTATCAGGTTAGATTGATTTGGAGGAGAAAAGGCAGCATGGAGCAATTGTAGCTTCTCACCTTTTTGGAGCCAAGGAGACTGCACATGCCAATTTTGGTGCAGCTGTATCACTCCTGTTTCTGTTCCATTAAAAACAGTGGTAACTCACGACAAATAGAAACTTTTTTGCCTCAGCTCACATCTTGGCATCGCACTGTTAGATATTTAACTTCAGCCATTATTCAGGGAAAGTACAATTGGCTAACATTTTTTTTTAATCAGATGTCTAATAATTAATGGGATTAATATAAGAAAAAAATTAGGTGCACAAAGACGGACATGAAAAGTGGGTGCTAAAAACAAACAAAATTTCAGTTCATGTCTCTTGATAGCTATTTTCAACTCATTTCTTCTAAATAAACTACTTAATATTCTTGTCAGGAAATGACATTTTAATGCTTTGTTCCCTTAAGGGGAAGTTACTGTCATTTAACAGGCTGTTCTGTTTTGTGTCAAATGGTTTGTTGCAGGAAGCTATTATAACTCGAACTTCCAGATGCATTACTGCTATAATGGGGGAGGGAAGAAGAAAACTGTATAATTTTTTTTTTAAAGATATGAGATACTGGCTTCCATATCTGCCATGCTGCACGTGTATGACTAGAGAGGGCAGAAAGCCCTTAACCGTGTCTTTGAGAACCAATCTCTTGTTTCCTGACTGGCCCACATGTAAATAGAGGGCTCTTTATTATTGAAGAAGAGTATTGTGGGTTTTTTCTTTGAATTCCTTTCAACTTGGGAAATTTGTTTGATTTTTGTTTATGTCCAGACTCAGAAATAAGAGGGTATTAATAAGCTGAACATTTATATTACAGATATTCCTCTTGAAACATACACAGTAATATGCACCTTTTGTATTGTCAAGACTTATTCTATTTATTGAAGAAAATGTCACAGTAGTGATGTATTAAGCCAGTACTTCAATTACGGGTTGACTTGGGATGACATGTTACATGCTGTAGTTAACACACTTCTTTTCTGTTCAGGTATTTCTGTCCCTAAATAACTTTTTATTTAGCTTCTTTTTTTTTTTTTTTTTTCTAGATAGCTTTAGTTGACTTGGGATGACATGTTACATGCTGTAGTTAACACACTTCTTTTCTGTTCAGGTATTTCTGTCCCTAAATAACTTTTTATTTAGCTTCTTTTTTTTTTTTTTTTTTCTAGATAGTTTTTTTTTTTTTAGACTGGAAAATTTTTTTTTTTTTTTTTTTTTTTTTTTTTTT